TGATATGGGTATTCACTGCTATAAATTTCCCTCTTACAACAGCTTTATTGTGTCCCATGAGTTCTGGTAAGTTGTACTGTCATTATCATTTAATTGCAGAAATTATCTTATTTTTTCTTTCATTTCATCTGTGATCCCATGGTTGTTCAGTAGGGTGCTATTTAATTTCCATGTGTTTATGAATTTCTTGTGGTTTCTTTTGCCATTGATTTCCAATTTCAGTGCACTATGGTCTAATAATATGTATGAGATAATTTTGATTCCTTTGCATTTACTTAAGCATGTTCTATGAGCTAGTATGTGGTCTATTTTCAAGAATGTCCCATGTGCAGCCAAGAAGAATGTGTATTCTGATGTTGTAGGTGGAATACTTTGTAGACATCTACTAAGTCCATTTGTTCAAAAGTTTGTCTCAGTTCTAGTATTTCATTGTTGATTTTTGGTCTAGTTGATCTGTCTTTTTATGACAGTGGAGTATTAAGATCCCCCAATACAACTGTATTAGTGCTTATTTTATTTTTCATGCTTGTTACTATTTGTTTTATATAGTTGTGTGCGGTGGTATTTGTTGCATATATATTTATGATTGTTATCTCTTCCTCTTGGATTGTTCCCTCTACAAGAATGTAGTGACCTTCTTTATCTCTCTTAATCAGTCTTGGCTTTAAATTCACTTTGTCTGCAAATAGAATAGCTACCCCTGCTTTTTTCTGAGTTCCTGACACATGGAGTATTGTTTTCCATCCTTTGACTTCAGTCTATGAATTTTCCATCCTTTGACTTCAGTCTATGAATTTTTTTTTTAATTAAATGTGTTTCTTGTATGTAGCATATTGTTCGATCTTGCTTCTTGACCCATTCTGCCAGTCTGTGTCTTTTGATTGGTGAATTGAGACCTTAACATTTATGGTTATAACTGACTTATGAATTGACTTACCTTTTTTTTTTTTATGAATTGACTTATCCTTCTCATGTTATTTTCCTGTTGTTTTTTTCCCCATCTCTTTGTTTGCCTTGCCTGGTGGATTCCTTCTGTTGGAGTTCATGGAATTGTAGTCCTTGTTATCTCTTTCTAGAATGTCCTACAAAATATTTTGGGGTGCTGGTTTAGTGGTCATAAATTTCCTCAGATGTTTTTTGTCATGGAAGTATTTTATTTCTCCATCAGTTTTGAAAGATAGTTTTGCAGGGTATATCAATCTGGTTTGAAGGTTGTTACATTAGAGCTTGAAATACTTTACTCCAAGCTCTCTTTGACTTGAGGGTTTGTATTGAGATGTCAGCTGTGATTCTGATGAGCTTTCCTTTATAGGTGATTTGTTTCTTTTCCCTAATAGCTTTTAAGATTCTATTCTTGGGGCTGGGGATTTAGCTCAGCGGCAAAGAGCCTGCCTGGCAAGCGCAAGGTCGTGAGTTCAGTTCCCGGTACTGGAGAAAAACCAAAAAAAAAAGATTCTATTCTTGTGTTGAATTTCTGGAATCTTGACTATGATATGCCTGGCTGTAGAATTTCTTGATTGTGGCTAATTAGAGTTCTATATTCCTCACTTTTCTTTATGTCAAATTCTTTTTCCCTACCAGGGAAGTTTTCTGCCATTATGTCTGTGAACAGTTTTTTAAAAAAATTATCATTTGTGCTATCTCCTTTTTCATTGACTACAATCAACCTTGAGGTATTCTTTTTTGCCTCATCTAGCAGCAGCTGGATTGATTTCTCTTGATCTCTTGCTATTTTTAAGAAATCTTCCTTTTCATGATTGTTAACTACAAGCCTGTCCTCTATATCTGAGATCCTGTCCTCGAATTGGCGTATTCTGTTGCAGATACTTTCAATGGAATTTTATTCTCCTAGATATGTGCTTGAATCTGCCTTATGGATTCCAATTCTTTCCTGTGCTGAGCACTGATGGCTTCCATAATTTTCTTAAGCTCCTCTAGTTTTTTTTTTAAATTTGTGTCTGCTCTAGAGTCACTAAGCATAGTTTTCATTGTGTACACCAACTCTGCAGTTATCTGAGAAAGTAGTTCTGATTTGATTTTTTCTAGAGCCTCATTCAATTGCTTTGTTTTTACCACTTCAGAGAGTACAGGTGGGTGGCTTTTGGATTTTCCCACCTCACTGCCCCCTGGATTTGCCTTTGGTGAAGTGGATCTCTGGGGTTGCATCTTGTTTCAGTGTCTCCTCAGTTTCTTTTCATTTTTTAGTTTAATTCCTGGGGTGATGCATGTAAATTGCCTATGGTGGGTTGCTTTATTGCTAGTATTTAGAACCCTTAGGAAATAACCACTTCTTTGAGGGTGTCTTCCAGGGTTAGCTGGGTTTTTGTTTTGAGTCTCTTGCATGATCCTACCTCTCCAAGTTGATGGAGATGAGAAGTTGCTGCCTGCTTGGCCCAGCCCCTGGTTCTTTGGCACTGTGCCACAGCATTTTCTATGACCCTTAGTCAATCTCAGTCATGGTATACCAGGAAGAATAGCTGTTTAGAGCAGTTATGTTGCTTTTGGCTAATGTGTTACCATCAGCATTAATAATATCATCAAACACAGCCTAGGAAATGACAAATTGAGGTAACCATTAATTTGCCACCTTTAAACATGTGAGCTAGATTTGTGGTTATATAAGAAAATCTAAAACAAACCAGAAAATTATATGCAGTATATAATCCTTAATATGTCAAATTTTCTCCCAGGGGTTAAAATTTAAAAGGGGTTAGGGAGAAAATAGTGAAGTAGAAGAAGAGGAAGAGATTAGAAGTGAGGCTGGAGGACAAAAGGGGATCACACTAACTTTGGGAAACTCACGCAGAAGACTTGAGGGAAAGAGAGAAGAAATAGAAAGAACAGAACAGAACAAGAACCACAAAGAGGCTACAATTCATGCTCATACTCATATAAAAACAAAATCAAACAATGAAGAAGAAAAAAACAAAAAACAAAACCACCACCACAACAACAGAAAAAAAAAAGAAAAACACAAGAGAGAGAGAGAGAGAAAGAAAAAAAAGTCCACTTCCAGGGTTGTCTCTGCTGTCACTGGTAGACAACATATGGAGACAGTCTTGATCTGTGTTGATTAATCCCAGCAAGCCAGCAGTAGCTTTTTGGCACAGGAGTGGATAATCTCAGTGAGCCTGCACCTTCTTGCCAAAACCAGGCTTATTTGACCTGCAGCTGTCAGCACACCTTCCTAGAGCCTGAGCCCAGCTAGGAGCCACTGGATGGAGCCAGCAGCTTCTTTTAGTTCTGAGTTGACCCTGCCCCTCTCCAAGGTGGCTCCTGGCCAATGGATTTCTGGCATGGGATGACAGAGCCCTCAGCACTCACCACCAGTTAGTGCAGTCCTTCATGTCTGCTGCTCCCCTTCACTGCTGTGTCTCTCCATGGAGGTCGCTGGGGTCGCTGGAAGTTACCATGTGTCTGCAGGTTTTAACTTTTCCTCCCAGGAAGTGGGTCCTGTCTCAGGGAAAAGGCGCCGCCCACTACCTCCTTCTTTGCTGAAATTTCTCTCTCCATTCTCTCTGTTGGCTTCAGTTCATGCTTCAGACCTGGGTCAAGGGGACTCATTTCCCTCTTTCTTGTCTTCCTCGTGCTGCTTACTACTCTGCCATCTTGGTGCCCTTCCTTTTGCTCTGATGTGAACAACCCCTGTACAGTGGCCTCTCCAATTCAGGAAGAAGTGATCAGAATGGGGACTTGCAAGGGTCTCCAAAGCAGTCTCAAGTGATCACTGATTGCAGGGCTGCGCCGCGGGGAAGATCAGCATGCTAGTGTGCACCGGACATTATGATGATGTGCCAGTCACTGTGTTAAGTGAACCCCCCCACTGCGTGAGAGAAGTCCCCCCACTGGCCACACTTGGGGCACTTGAAGTGTTGGCCCCACTGTCCAGCCCCAGGCAAGGCTCCTGGGACCCATGGGATGCACTCACACGGGCCCAACCTGCCAGTGGCAAAGGCAGCTGCTCCCGCAGGTGTAGAAGGCCCAGTGGAGTTCTGGGGTGGCATGTCTTTGTGCACAGGCTCCTCATTCTTTCAGGTAAATGATACAGGCCAGTCATTTCATCACTGGACCCTGAGCCAGTGGGCTGCATGCCCTCAGCATGGTCCAGGCCAGGAAAAGGGGCCTAGTGTTCTTGGACACTGGATACCCCGATGCTTCAAGAGGCTCACAGTGGGACAGCAGTGGTGGGAAGGTGGGGACTTGGGATCTCCCATTCAGCCAAGAAAGAGTGGCTGAGCTTCCAGTGCTCTAGCTAGCTCCTCCTCCTTTGCCCCACCTGCACCTCCCATTGCTGTCCTCCATCTGGTGCTTCCAAGCCTCTTCACACTCACCAGTTGAGTAGAACCCAAATCTGTAACCTCCAGCACCAAGCAAAAGAAGTAGGGGCTTTATATATGAAATGATCACTGTAAGACCTTCCCCAGGGAGTGCTGTGCTCCAACAGGAGGGGCCAGGTGGGGAGCAGGGCCCAGGAAGAAGCCCAGGATTTAGCCTCACATGGAATATCCCTCTCACTGGTCTCTTCTAGTTCATTTTCTTCCCAAGCCCAAGCCCATCCTCAGTGAGCTCCGAGCCAGTTTCATCATTAGTACTTGTTGCCCTGACAAAACTGAAAGTGTTAAGTAAAACTTTCCCAAGTCTGCGCTGATAACGGCTATAGTATATGCACCCGCATCCTTGATTCACAAAAGACAGCTCTGAGAACAGTCAGGCCCACAAGGGGGCGTCCTTCCTCAGAACTCAGGAATGAAAAGTAAAAGCTCAGTCAACGAAGTCAGACAGCTCTGGGTTTGAGTTTGAGACAATTATTTAACACTCTGTGCCTTAGTTTGTTCAACTGTAACATGAAAGTACTGATGCCTACCTCATAGTGCTATTGTGAGGAGTAAATGCTTAACACACACTAAAGGCTTAACACAGTGACTGGCACATCATCATAATGTCCAGTGCACACTAGCATGCTGATCTACTGCTGTGAAGAGGCTGGGTATGGCTCCTGCAGCTTAGTCCTGTTCCTGAGCTCAGATGGTTGCTGTGACCCACCCTGTCCCCTCCCCTTCTCCCTCCCCCTCCCTCTCTCCTTTCTTTGATTAACAGAAGCAGTCGGCACATGTGGGCTTTGTTTCCCATTGGCTGAAATTGCTGTTGTCCTGGCAGCATGTGTAAACATTCTGTCTGGGAGTCTTGGGGAAAGGCTGCTGAGAGACTGGGAGGCTTCTTCAGCTAGCACTGCTGGTATTTCAAACAAGGATCTCCTCACCAGGTATCAGGGTTTCTTAAGGGTCGGGATGTCCACAAAAAGGACCTGCAGCAGTTCTCCCTATTCATTACCTAGACCCCAAACTCGACCATGCCCCCTTCTCTTCCCACCCATTCTGCCCATCTTATTCTGCCTCTAATAGGAAGGGAAGGGAAGGGTAGGGAAGAAAATGAACTAGAAGAGACCAGTGAGAGGGATATATTCCATGTGAGGCTAAATCGTGGGCTTCTTCCTGGGCCCTGCTCCCCACCTGGCCCCTCCTGTTGGAACACAGCGCTCCCTGGGGAAGGTCTTACAGTGATCATTTCATATATAAAGCCCCTACTTCTTTTGTTTGGTGTTGGAGGTTACAGATTTGGGTTCTAGTCAGCTCCTGAAAGCGAATCCACCAAATGACCAAGTCACCAAATGGGCCATTCACTGAAGGACTTAGATCCTGCATGACTAACTCACCAAACCTACAACATAGAACAATGTACACAAACCTTTTGTGTGGCTGCCTTTCACTGCAGAGTTGATAGCAAATAGCTGTAGCTAAATTGACATGGCCAGTTTGCTAATGTTAAGGGTCTTCAGCTCTTTTCACCTCCCACCCTTTAACTCCTTCCGGCTCTAGAATGGGCAGCCTGGAAAGACTCCATTTCCCTGAGCAGATACTCCTGTGGCAAGAGGAACTGAGGCAGAGGCAGACTGAGCTTAAATAATATCAGGGCCTATGTAAACGCTGGTGAGTATTAGAGGAGTTTTTAAAGCTGTTCCAATTATTCTTGGATCAATGGCTATGGGAACTGGGCTGCCTTGTGCAGTGTCCAGCAGCCCTTGGGCCCAGTGAGGATGTTGAGAACGGGAGGGAAAGTTGCCTTTCACAAAGGAGGCTCACAGAAATAGAGTGGGTGCATTCCGGGCTCAAGATGAAAATGTGAGAACAGGGCCCCATGACCCTTTTTGCATCTTGGAGAGACTAGCATTGTAGTTAAGAGTGTGGACTATGGGCCAGACTGTCTGGGTGTATAGCTTGGTCTCCTTATTTTCACATGGTAACAAGAGTCCCTCTGTTCATGATTCCAGGACCCCACAGGAAACTGCTGGCATACTAAAAGCAGGATAGTTGGTAAAGGGAATATTCACAGAGGTGTGGCCAGAGACAGGGAAACAAGGCAGAGTTCAGCCTCCTGGTGCTAGTTACAGAGCAGTCCAGTGGGGGGCCAAAGGGCAGGAATGGTTACTCCTCCCAGACAGAGGTGTTGTGGGAGACAAGGGCCTGGAGAAAAGCTGGAGCCTTCTCTGGACAGCCAGCCACAGGTGACCCTGTTGTGGGGAAAGCACCGTACTCTTTTTCTCAGCTTGATTTCCCTGCTGTGTGTAACCTCCTGGAAGCCAGAGGGCACTAGAGAGCCCATTTGCGTGGTTTATCCAGGCCTGCTTTCCAGCGCAGTGACTGAGCGATTAAGGAGGGGGTGTGGAAGGGCGAAGAGAAAGGGTCCAATAGCAGTCTTGTCAAGCTGTGGTAATAGTAAAATGAAATACAGCACAGTAAGCACCCCCAAGTGGCGAGCTGCTATTTATAGAAAAATTAAAAATAGCTCCTTTTGGAGTGACATCTACTGTCATACAATACCCAATGTAAGGATTGTCTGTAAAGAATTTACAAATGTACTGGAAGTAAAGAATTTCTCAAAAGTGAAAAGATTTAAGAAGTAGTAGGGAAAGAAGTAGAATCCAACACTCAAGGGAAAAGATGTAAAACAGACTGAAAATGCACAAAGACTCTTAGTTCTGTGATGGACATGTGTTCACACCGATGTTCACATTCCCAATAGATGCCAAAGACATCTGGAAAATTTTAGCTATAATTTACGATAAGCCTTGCTAGAACTAGAGCATTAAAAAAATTTTTTTTTGGCTTTTTGAGACAGTGTCTCACTATGTAGCTATGTAGTCCAGGCTGGCCTTGAACTCAGTCCAGGCTGGTCTCAAACTCCCAGCAATCTTCCTGCCTCTGCCTCCTGAGTGCTGGGATTACAGACATTCACCACCATACCTGGTATCAAATGTTTTCTTTTTTTTTTCTGGTACGGGGAATCGAACTCACGACCTCGCGCTTGCCAGGCAGGCTCTGTGCTGCTGAGCTAAATTCCCAGCCCCTCAAATGTTTTCTTGATGTGATAAACCTCAAACCATAAAGCAGCAGCATCCTTAATGGTGGAACACCAGAAAGCATGCCTACCAAGGCCAGGCATGAAAGAAAGATGCTCATTATTCAGCTTCTAGTTAACGTTTTCCAGAAATGCTACCCAAGCTAAGACTCATAAGAGATATATATTTCAGAACAAGAGATAGTAAAACACGATAGTTTCCCTCCCTCCCTTTCTATTTTTTGCCTTCCCTCCCTCTCTCTCTCTTTGTATCTCCCTTCCTTCCTGTACTGAGGGTTAAACCCCGGGCCTCTGCACTGAGCTACATTCCCAACTTTTTTTTTTTTTCTGAAACAGGACTTGTAAGTTGCTAACTTAGGCTTGAACTTAAAAAAAATGCTAACCATTTTAATTTAAATTAATACTATTTCTGGAAGATAAACACAATTGGTAGAAAATACCAAAAGTTTACTGTACAAATTTTACCTAACATTTAAAAAAACAAATTGTGTGCCTTGCAGCTATAGAAGGCACTAGGTGTACACTTGCTATACTCAAACTTATAATCTTCCTGCCTCAGCCTCCCAGAGTGCTGGGATTACAGGCATGTGCCACCATGCTTGGTGAAAAAATGATAGATTTTTACCTGGAAAACCCAACAGGAAAAAAAAAAAAAACCACTGAAACACCAACTCCTGCTCTGTTGTATATTTTTCCTTTTTAAAAAATTTTTGGTGCTGGAGGTTGATCCCAGGGCCTTCCACATGCTAGGCAACAGTCTTACTTCTTAACTCACTATTTTTTTCTTCAGCACTGGGGCTAGAGTTCAGGGCCTCCTACATTCTACGCAAGTGTTCTACCACGGAGCCACACCTCCAGCCCCTTAATTCAGTATCTGTTTATTTATTTATTTTTGTAGTACTGGGGACTGAACTCAGGGAATGCTGAGCTACATCTTGGGCCCTTTTTACATTTTATTTTGAGACAGGGTCTCACTAAGTTGTCCGGCTTGGCCTCAAATTTGTGATCTTTCTACCTCAGCCTCCCTAACAGCTGGAATTACAGGTGTGGGCCACCATACCTGGTGAGAATTTACTATCTTTCAAAAGTCCTATGCCCCTAGTTGTTCAAAGTAGGGAATGGGGTTCTTTAAAAGGCTCACCAAGAAATCAGTATTTGGAATTCTAGCTGGAACCCCAAAGAAGTTAGAAATCATTTTACCCCATTTGGTTTTAAACTGCACGGTTTTGAGAATGTAAAAAGCCTTGATTTTCAGGAAAAGTAAATCTGAGCAGCCAGGTACAAAGGGCCTGCAGTGAGGTCTCACTTCTATGCCCAGCCTCCGGTCTCCTCCCGGAAGGCTACAACTGTGGCCTGGCCTGACTTCGGGAGATAATCTGGACTCAAGAACCTTCCCATGCACATAAACACACATGCACAGTAACTTCTTGAGTTTCTTTATCCAGGCCAAAGAAAATGGATAAGACTAAAAAGTCCAAAAGTCGGAGGGTAGTGATTATTGATGAGAAATCTCCAGTCAAGGTGACAACAAAGGATACACGAGACAACAGGAATGTGACAGACACAGAAGACAAGGAGACTCTCGCTAAAGCAGCTCTGACTATAGTTGAGGATGTTCTTAAGGCTGCTGTCCAGTCTGTGGGAGGTAGTAACCCTATTTGCTTGCCTAAAGGATTGCCTCAGAATGTAACACCACACTACCCGGCAGCTAACAAATTCACACCTTGTTTACAGAAACTAAGCCCTGCGCCAGGAAAATCAAGTGGATCACGCATGGTGAATTCACAGCAGAAAAGGGCCAGAAACAAATTCAGGAGTTCCTTTCGGTAAGTGAGTTAAGTACTCTAGTTTGGCACATGAGGAGAACCAACAAAAAGGATGTTTGGCTGAAAATTTGAGGTAGCTGCCAGGTGTGGTGGTGCATACCTGTAATCCCAGCACTCAGGAGGCTGAGGCAGAAGGACTGCCACAAGTTCAGGGCCAGCCTGTACTACATAGAGAGACCCTGTCTCAAAAAAAATTTTTTTTGAGGTAGCCAGGTATGGTGGTGCACAGCTGTAATCCCAGCTTCTTGGGAGGCTGAGTTAGGAGGACCCTAATTTGGAGACTAGCCTGGGCAACTTAGTGAGACTCTGTCTCAAAAATAAAATTTAAAAAGGGCTGGAGATGTAGCTCAGTGGCAGAGCACTTGCCCAACATGTGTGAGATCCTGGTGTACTACAAAAAATATTTAAGGTTCAAAACCTATGGATATCAAAGGTGACTTGAATAAGTAAACATTGTCTCCATGTGGTTCCAAAATCAAGGTGGTATAATCTTTGAAGGTGAAAGGCATAATTGTGCTGCTGTGTTTGTATCACCTTACCTTTACATTTCCCTAGGAAAAATGAGTATTTCCAGTTAAGCAATTTGCTATGCTGACACATGCAGTGGGGGCCTAGTGGCCTCAAGAGGGAGATGCTTCTCCAAAGGAGGAGCTCTTTACCACTCAAGTTATTGAGTATGCTCACGTTAGCAGGGGGGATGTGGCTGGATCAAGTGTCATAGTGTGTGGTGCTGGGATAGAAACAGAGCCTTACTCATGCTAAGCACATGCTCTACCACTGAGCTACATTCCCATCTCCAGGATCAAGGGTCTTGTTTTTTATTGAGACAGGGTCTCACTATGATACACCAGCTGGGCTGGAACTCATGATCCTCCTGCCTCAGTCTCCCAAGTGGCTGGGATTACAGGTGTGTGCCACCACACATGGATTCAAGTGCCTTTTAAATTTAGCTTGGAAATGTATTGCCCAGATGGGAAGATGTGCATACCCACCAACTCTGTTTTCCCTCAACCTGTGTCTGGCACTGACCTCTCTGCATGGCTTATCCTGGCAGATTTGGGGAGAAGGCCCTGGGTTGTTTTGCATAACTGGCAGGTGGTGAAGAAGAATGGTTGAAATCAGTTGAATTTGATAGAGGAAAACTCTCCCAGCCCTAGGACAATTTCTAGCTGTTTGCATCCCTCCCAGGAGCCCATCAATGCCTACAGGTTCATAGGCCCATGGATACCCTGGTCAGGCGGTGCTTCTGGTACAAGTTCACCTTGTGCTTTCCTGCTCTGGAGCAGGTCTCCATCAGGGGTTGGGGTAAAGGGTCCTGCCAGATACACCCAAAGTTCGTGAATCAGACCAGAACAGGACACAGAGATGGGAAATTTTGCCATTCTGAGTAAAGGGCAATGTAAGCCCTGACAGTGATCTACAGAGTTCTCTGTCTTCCTTTCAACTTACAGCTCAGCCTCTGTCACCAATTTCTCCCCCCTCTGCCACCACTTTCTCCCCCCTCTGCCACCTTCACCCAACCACACTGGCTTCTTTGATGTCTTTGAACTGCTGCATGTGTCTCTGCCTCAGAAACTTTTTTTTATTTTATTTTAAAGAGTAAAAGAAGGATAACATAACAATAGGAGGGGCTTACCAAATTACAGACAAAGTGGTAGGAAATTATCGGTGGTTATTGTTTTACATATTGTTATCTATAAGATAGTTTCTCAGGAAAACAAATAGACAAATGATAGTGAGTTACAGACAAAAGAGGTAGGAGATTATCAATAGTTGTG